TAGAACAAGTCTGGAGGCTTTCCTTCTTTTTCTGTTTTTTTTTTTTGGAACAGTGTGAAAAGAATGGCTATTAACTCTGCTTTAAATGTCTGGTAGATAGGGATGCCTTGGTGGCCCATTCAGTTGAGCATCTGACTTTGGCTCAGGTCATGTCTCAAAGTTCAAGAGTTTGAGCACCACGTTGAGCTCTGTGCTGACAGCTCAGGGCCTGCAGCCTGCTTCAGATTCTGTGTCTCCGCTCTCTCTGTCCCTCCCCCACTTGCACGCTCTCTCTCTCATGTGTGGCCACTGAAGCATCTGTTCTGTTAGCTTAATGGTCAGGTGGTGTTGACAGATTTACCTTAAATACTTGACAAAAGAGAAAAAGAAGAAAAGTAAAAAAGAAAATATCTTTTGGGTCACTGGGGTGCCTCAGTTGGTATAGTGTCAGACTCTTGATGTCATCTCAGGTCTTGATCTCAGGGTCATTTGTTCAAGCCTCAAGTTGCGCGTCACGCAGGGCATGAAGCCTACTTTTAAAAAAAGTACAAAAGCAGAAATAAAAACTCTTCTGATATTTGTAGATTGGCTTTGCATTTGGGCCCTCCGTTAACACTTATTTAGGCCTTTTACAGATCTACCTTAGCTTTCACTTCCTACTTGTATGGAGCCACAGACTTTCAGATGTGAAAGTTTAGTCTTCTCAGGCCTTCTCTGAGCATGTATCCTCCTCTTTGGCATGTGCATGGCTTTCTTAATTCCCTGGTATATGCAGAAGCTTTCAAAAGATCTTATTCCCATATTTATCTCTTCTCCTAACCTCTTCCTTCCCAAGCTTCATAGTCTGTTTTTTGCTTGCCCCAAATGTTTCTTGCTCCAACTGATGTGGTCAATACCTGTGCCCTTAAATGTTTTCAGCAGAAGCTACCCAAGAATGTGTCCTGGAAACACTGAGAGTGTTGAGTTATGCAAAACAAAGGGAAGCCTTTGCACCAGTCCTTGATGGGAGCTTCCAAGCAGGTTGAGACTCATAGCTGCTGTTCTTTTCGAATAATGTCTGTATTGCTTCACAGCACTCTGCACCAGGAATATGGACTGCTCTTGTCATAGTTGCTGCCTTTCTGTGGCTTGGAGATGGTAGGAAGGTTGTTTAAGGTGACACAATGCTTACTTACCACAGAGTCCCAGCTTCTTTCTTCACCAAGCTTTCCCCTGGCTGTTTTAAGTTTTTGACTGTATTATAGAGTTTTTTGGAAGCTGATTATGACAGTTTTGGCCAGCTCATTACTTACTTTGGGGGAAGGAGAGAGTCTTGGGATTCCCTACCCTATTTTCAGTGACCGTTTTGGTCACTGGTGGTGATAATGCTTTAATAACACTGCAAAAATGTCAGGTCTCTGTGTTGTCTGCAATGCTGTTGGCTTTTGGCTACCATGCTACTACAGAGCTGGGGAGAGAAGGAAGATGGAAATAACCTTAAGTTAAAAGACATCACAGACCCCACTGTCCTCCCGAGGTTTAGTAGTTTTTGTTGAATAGATACTTCTCTGTGGGCACTTGGTTCTGGTTAATTGCCACCATGCTGAAATGGTTGATTCTTATTGTTTCACTGGTGTGCACGTGTTTGCATTGTTTTAGAGGAAGAACAATATCACCAAGGCCCTCACTCCACCATTCTGGAAGTCACTCTCTCCTGGAACATTTTGAAAGAGAATAGTAATAGGACACATTATAAACATACAATAAATTTTCAGAGTTATGATAGTGGAATATGTGTCATCAACAAAATAGACAATGTCCAGGAAAAGTCCCAATTTCATATGTGAATTCAGTGTATAATGAATGAGTGGCATTTCAAATTAGTGGAGAAAAAAGACATGTACTTAATGGTTAAACAGAAGTGTAACCATTTGGAAAATTAAATGAAAAAATACGTAATTCACTTGCAGTTTGTGAGTTTGAACCCTGATCAGGCTCTGCAGTGACAGTGCAGCGCCTCTATGGGATTCTCTCTCTTTGTTCTTATCTCTGCCTCTCCCATACTCTCACTCACTTGCGCACGCTCTCTCCCTCCCTCTCTCTCTCTCTCTCAAAATAAACTTCATTAAAAATTTTTAAAAAATGTAAGGATGAAGGTAAAGGCTCAACATTGACATGTCATACTTGGAATAAATTCAAACAAATAGCTCAACACTAAGATTGTAAATAATGAGGGTGTAGCTTTGTCACATGGCATTGGGCCTGATGACTTATGAAAAGGATTAGACATTTAGGAGTACATGGAATGATGAAGAAAGTAAGGTCTGGCACTTCAGTATCTGAGTGGGTGAACACTTAATATGTAGTTGGGTTTCCCATTTCTGTGCATGAAGCTTAGATGGTTGCAAGTTACATAGTTTTCCTAGAATTGTTTTGAGACAAAAATCTCATGCATATTAAGGAAAACCTTGTTTTCTGAAAGAAAACTTTCATGTTTAGACAAAGGAAATCTTACTGGTTTATCTTATATCTATTCATATGTTTTATTTTGTCCACAAAACTTTTTAAAATATTTTTTTATGTTTATTTATTTTGAGAGACAGAGCAGGCATGAGCAGGGGAGAGTCAGAGAGAGAGAGAAACCAAGCAGGCTCCAAGCTGTCAGCACAGATCCTGTGACATGGGGCTTGATTCCAAAAACTGTTAAGATCATGACCTGAACTGAAACCAAGAGCTGGACACTCAACTGACTGAGCCACCCAGGCATTCCATCTACAAGAAAGCTTTTTTACCCCCAATATTTAGCTTTTACCTTTGGAACTTTTGTAATTACCCATAAGTCAAACTTACATTAGCCCTTCCAGTTTTACTATTTCTAATAGCATCACTTTAATGTTTTGTTTCCAAAATCTTTTTTCACCTTTTATTCTTTTATTATTTAAAGTCTTTATTTTTGAGAGAGACAGAGAGACAGCACGAGTGGGGGAGGAGCAGACAGAGAGGGAGACACAGAATCTGAAGCAGGCGCCAGGCTCTCAGCTGTCAGCACAGAGCCCAGTGTGGGGCTCAAACTCACAGACTGTAAGATCGTGACTTAAGCTGAATTCGGACATTTGACCAGTTGAGCCACCCAGGCACCCCTTTTTTTCACCTTTTAGTATGAAGTTATATAAACTTGAATAGTAACCAAAGAATTCTAAGTTTTTAAAGTAGCTGAGATTATTCTGTCCCTAACATAAAATTAATTTTTAAAAAATTTTAAGTTTTTATTTTGAAAGAAAAAACACATAAGCAGAGGAGGAGCAGAGAGAGAGGAGAGAGTGAGAATCCCAAGCAGGCTCTGCACTGACAGCAGTGAGCCCGATGCGAAGTTAGAACTCCTGCAGCATGAGATCATGACCTGAGCTGAAGTTGGACACTTAACCAACTGAGCCACCCAGGTGCCTCTGAAATTTTTTAATAATGTAGTTCTGTTTTAATCATTATCTTCCTGTTTTCTTCATCTTCACACATCTCAAGGAGATTTTTAAGGTATATTTGGGGCGGCCAGGTGGCTCAGTAAGTTGAGTGTTTGATCTTGATTTAGGTTCAGATTATGATCTCATGGTTTGTGGATGTGAGCCCTGGGTTAGGTTCTGTGCTTACAGAGTGGAGCCTGCTTGGGATTCTCTCTTTCCCTCTCTCTCCACCCCTCCTCTGCTTTCATATGCATGTGTGCTTTCTCTCTGAAAATAAAATAAATTTTAAAAACATGTATTTGTTAATCTTGATACTATGGAATCATTAAAGCTTCCCTTCCCTTTCTCAAAAAAAAAAAAAGATATCCAGATATGTCACTTTAAGTTGGTATAAATGTATGTAGTGCTAATCTTTTCATTTTAAACATTTATTCTGTTTCTCACATTTAGTTTTAATCCTTTATACTGTGTGAAAACTTTCATGAATTTCATGTGGGAAAGGAACTTAAATATATGTATATCACCTTACAAAACTGTTCTTGCATTATGTGTTGTGGTTATAATTATCCATATCACAGCAGCCATTCAGAGTTGGAGATGTCATCTACATTTAATGGTTGAGACATCTGAACCTTGGGAGAGTTAATTAAGCAAATTGCTCAAAGCCGCAATGCTTCTAAGTGATAGAGCCTGAAGTAACACCAAGATTTTTCTACTCCAAAGATTTTTATCTGTTTACTACCCATTGTTTTTATTCCACAAGGGATTTGATAAATATTTGTTGAATGAAGGAATGACAGAGACTATGAGAAGTTTCTGTCACTGGAGCATGTCTAAGGTTTTACATATTCATATATTTATTATTTACTGTATCACAGGCACTCTATGATGAGCCTTTACTATTTTTAGAGACTAAGATATTAGTTTTTTTCTTTCTATAATTTTTTTGTTTTTTATCATTTTCATCCAGGTTAGTTAGCACTTGGTGCAACAATGATTTCAGGAGTAGATTCCTAAAGTCCCTTGCTCATTTAGCCCATCCACCCTCCCACAATCCCTCCAGCAACTCCTCTCTTTGTTCTCTGTATTTAAGAGTCTCTCTTATTTTGTCCCCCTCCTTGTTTTTGTATTATTTTTGCTTCCCTTCCCTTATGTTCATCTGTTTTGTATCTTAAGGTCCTCATATGAGTGAAGTCATATATTTGTCTTTCTCTGACTGACAAATTTCGCTTAGCATAATACCCTCTAGTTCCATCCATGTAGTTGCAAACGAGACTAAGATATTAGTTTCTCATTTCCGTTAGGTTTAAGGTTTTTCTGGCTCTTGAACTTATAATTTATATTTTCTCTTTTTATTATTGTGGTGGTGGTTTTGTTTTGCAAATCAACCCTTTGACAGAATCTGAACCTGAACCGTTGAAGATATAATTACAGGTGGAGCCAGTGTTGTCTGACAGTTGAAATAAACACACGAGTGTTTACTTTGATTACAGAGCTGCACTGTAATATAATCTGCTTGCTGAATTTTTCTAAGATTTAGCGAGAAGAAATAGTAAATCATTGTGGTTTTCTGTTCTCTTTCAGCTTTCGGAAGAATTATTAGATAAATGGCTCTCCTACCCAGAGTCCCAGCATGTACCCCTCTGCCAGCATATGCTTGGTTTTGCTATGAAGTCTGTTACACAGATGGTAATGGGTAATACATTTGAAAATGACCAGGAAGTCATTCGCTTCCAGAAGAATCATGGCACAGTAAGTCTAGGGCCAAATTTAAAATTATTCTTTCAATCAAATTGGATAGTTGAATAATGTAGACTTTGCCTCTCAAAAAAAAGGTGTCAGATCCTATAGTATAGAATTTCCTTGTTTTGGGCTCAGTCAACAATGCAAGCAAAGATAATTGTATGTTTCAAAATGTAAAAATTACTTTTTTTCAGCAATTACTTTTTGAAGTGTAAAAAGTGGATGGCTAAAGAAATTTCCTTCTAATACTTAAGAAGTATGTCATAAAATGATACCAAATTCTAGAATAAAGAGAAAAACTTTAATAGAACTAGATTATGTCCCATGTAGAAAGAAATTAAAGCCAGTAGAGCATTCAAATGAAATGAATATGATTTGAGGAAAGACTAATTCAGTCTAAAAATGATTTACTGTTTTTTTTTCTAGATTCACCTATAGAATTTATTTCATTTTCTATTTTTATCAATTTCAGCATTCATGTATTTAACTCCAATGTTAAATTAATTTATTCAGTTCAAATCGTATTAGGTCATTGGCTACATTTTGGGTCTCTGAGAAATTATTCCTTATTATATTCAAATCTGTAAAAACATTTTGATTAAATAATTGGAATAATGTATTTAAAACAAAAATCACTAGGAACTGTGGCTTAATTCCCTGTTATTTAATATACTTCCCCCATTAAAATGGTTTAATTTTTATGTCTGATGATTTAAAAATATATGTTTCTTCGGGTGCCTGGGTGGCTCAGTTGGGTGAGCATCCAACTTTTGATTTCAGCTCAGGTCATGACCTAAGGTCATGGGATCGAGCCCCACATTGGGCTCCATGTTGAGCTTGGAGCATGTTTAGGTTTCTCTCTCTCTCTCCCCCCCCCCTCCCTCTACTCCTCTTTCTCACTTGCACTTGCTTTCTCTCTCTCCCAAAAAGAAAAATATTTGTATAAACATATATGTATACATATACACACACATTTCTTATCAAACATTCACATATTTAGGAATGTAAAAATAAAAGTGGAAAAATCACTCTAAATTCCACTTCCTGGAGTAAGCTAGTTTGTGTGCCCAGGCGAAATAAGTTGGTTAAGGAATTCCTAAAATGTCTTCATGTTTTAATGAAGAACCAATTTTTGACTCAGTTATTTTTGTCTGATTTTTTTCATATTGACAAGACCGCATTTTTTAAAAGAGATCTCCACTGTTGTTTCTAGGATGACCTGTTATTTCTAGGATGTTTTTATGCTGGTATTTTATTTTCCTTCCTTTTTCATTCTTTCCTTATAACTTCAAAATAGAAATAATCTCACACTTACAGAAAAGTTGCAACTAGTGTAAGGAATTCCCATATATCTTTTACCCAGGTTCACCAGCTGTTTGCATTTTGCCCCATTTGCTTTTGTCATTCATTACCCACCTCTTTGGAACCATTACTGTAACCATTTGAGGAAAAAGTGGACATTTTGCCTTTTTTCCCCTATATACTTCAGTCTGTATTTCCTAAACACAAGGACATTCTCTTATATAGCAACAACATAGTTTTCAAACTTGGGAAATTGAACATTCATACAGTATTGTTCTCCACAGCCCATATTCAAATTTCCTTACTTTCAGTAGTCAGACCTCTTTAATGTGAAATAGTTCCTCACCTTTGTGTTTTGACGTTGACATTTTTTATTTTATTTTATTTTTTAAAATATTTATTTATTTATTTTTGAGAGAGAGAATGAGTGCAATCAAGGGAAGGGTAGAGAGACAGAGACAGAGAATCCCTAACTGGCTCCAGACAAGCATAGAGTCCAGCTCAGGGCTCAAACCCATGAACTGTGAGATCATGACCTGAACCGAAATCAAGAGTCAGTTGTTTAACCAACGGAGACACTCAGGAGCCCCAAGGAACTTTGACTTTCTAATTATAATTAGTTTTAAAGTACCTTGACTAAAATTATTAAAATATATTTGAACAGTATCTTCAGAAACTCTGGAGTGAATGATTAGCCCACTTAAAAGTGAGAGCTTAATTATCAGATCTGTTGGTAGGATAGGAGTTCCTCAATTATTAGCTTAGATTGCTTGTCATTCTTTAGAAAATGTACTTTATTAGATAATAGGTATGTTTACCTATTTTCAGGTTTGGTCTGAAATTGGAAAAGGATTTTTAGATGGATCACTTGATAAAAGTATAACTCGGAAAAAGCAATATGAAGATGGTAAGTTTTACTCTTCTTAAATTATAGTAAGAACAAAAGGCTATGTGCCCCAGTTTTAATCAGGTTATCTCTGAATCATGAGATCATAGGTCATTTATATTTTCTTTATGTTTTTCTCCTGTTTCCTTTATTAAAGGTTTTTCTTGAACATAAGAGAGGAAAAAGCAGTGAATCAATAAATGAAGCTTTAGTACTCAGTGTAGAATGAGGCATAGCATATAGGAAAATGTAAGGGTACAGTCCTGGGAAAGCAATTTGATAATACATATTAAAGTCATAAATAATAAAGTCATAAAATAAAGTCATAAAAAATTTTCTTCTTTCTAAAAGAAGAAAAATCATGAATTTTTTTTGTAAGGCTATTTCTGAAAGTAGAAAATCAGAAGCAATTTAGATGTCCAACAATGTAGGAATTATTAAGGAAGTAATACCAACTTCAATATTAAATATTGTATAAATTTATGTAAGAAATGTAGCCGTGTAAAAAGTCTTGCCATTTATAACACTGAGTAAAATTATTTTCAAAATTGTTGGGCATTGGTTATAACCTAATAAAATTTACACAGAAAAATAACAATTTTAATTTAAAATGCCTCCACAAAATGATTCTCCCTTTTTTTGGTTCTGTATTTTCTGTCAGTTATTTAATGACTGTAATACTTTAATACCTTTATTTTCAGCTGCTTCAGTTCCTTTTTTGAAAGTAGGGTAAATTAAAATACATGGGCTGTATTGAAATAATGGATTATTTTCCATTTTATATAATAGTGTTGCTTTCCAGTATTCTCTTCCTTCTTTCTTTTATTTCTAAAGATTTTATTTTTTAAGCAATCTCTACACCCAGCATGGGGCTCAAACTTGTAACCCTGAAATCAAGAGTCCCACACTCCACTGACTTAGCCAGCTATGTGTCCCTCTTTCTTCATTCTTTCAACAAGGGTTTATTGAGGCCTGGATGTGCTAAGCATTATTTTGTGTATAGGAGAAAAAAATCCCTGCCCTCATGGGCCTTACCACTCTAGTGATTCCCTTGATGTCCAACATAGGCCCCCAAAAGCCAATTTAACGGACACATTTTCTACACTCTGGTTTTCAGTACCATTGTGATTACCTTGATGAATGCATTAGGATTAATACCCTTGAATAAAGTATTTCACAAATATTGGTTCAACATATACAAAGTGAAAATAATTCATATTCTTTGATTCTAAATAAAAGTAGATTGTCTAACATATGTTCCTTGGGTTGTAACATTGACATAAATAAAATTTGAGCTTTTATTGAAAATGAGTCTGTGTTGGCATTTATGTGACTTGGATCTCATGGCTGGATCAGTGCATCCTTTGTATAAGTGAGTAATTTCCAACCTGATCTGTACATTAAAATCACTTCTGGAACTTAAAATAAAAAAACTGAACCCTACCCTAAGCCAGTTTAGTTGGAGTCTGATAGAGAGGCGCCCTGGGCACTAGATATTTTTATGAAAGATTTCCGGATTATTCTGATGTACCTGTAGGTTTGAGAATGTACAGAAATAGTTCCCAAACTTTGCTATACATTGAATCTTTTAAAAAATATAGTGGTGGTGGGGGTTGGGGATCCTGGCTGGCTCAGTCAGCAGAGAATGTGGCTCTTGATCTCGAGGTCATGGGTTCGAGCCCCATGCTGTGTGTAGACGTTACTAAAAACAAACAAACGAAAAACTATTAAAAAATATTGAAGCCAGACTTCCATTCCTAAACATTCAGATTTAATTGGTATGAGGTGTGACTTGTACTTTACGATTTTTTAGGAAAAGCTTCCTAGGTGATTCTTATCTGTAGCAAAGTTGGGAACCATTGCAGTACAGTGTTAATAATTTCTCATTTTAATCACTAATGTGTTACATTCGTGCCATTCTGTAACTATTAACTGAGTATCTGTAATATTCTGGTACGATTTTGGTGCTGGGGAGATGTCCATCAACAGAACAAACAATTCCTGTCCAGTGGCACCACATTCTAGTGGGAAGAGGCTGGCAATAATTTTAAATAAGTAAAAGGAATAGTGTGTTAAAAGATGAAAAGTGCTATGGAATTAAATCAAGAGGGGGGATAGGGCATATCAGGGATGAGGAGGTTGTAGTTTTGAATAGGATGAGTTATTAGGAAAGGCTCACTTAAGATTAGGTGACTTCGGAGCTAACACTTCCAAGACATAAGGAAACCAGTCAATGCAGATCATGTGAATGTCTCCATGTCCATAGGAAGGAGATTCCATGTAGAGGGAAAGTAATTGCAAAGTCCTCAAGGTGGGATTCTGGTTTATTTGGTGTACAGGGAACTTTCTGGCTGGAGGGAAGACAGAAGAGGAATAAAAGGGGATGAGGCCAGAAAGATTGGGGGAGAGGGACAGGTTTTGTAAGACTAGGTTGTTACTGTGAGATATTAGGATTTTATTTTTACTATTTTTTAATGCTTATTTATTTTGGGAGAAAAAGAGATTATGTGTAAGTGTGTGGGGGAGGGGCAGAGAGAGGGAGAAAGAGAATCCCAACCAGGCTCCTCGCTGTCAGCACAGAGCCTAATGTGGGGCTCAGTCCCATGAACCATGAGATGATGACCTGAGCTGAAATTAAGAGTCAGACGCTTAACCAACTGAACCACCTACGCGAACCCAAAGATTTTATTTTTAAGTAATTCCTACATCCAACGTGGGACTTGAACTTATAACCCTAAAATCAAGAGTTGGACGCTCTACCAACTAAGCCAGCCAAGCATCCCAATCTGAGTTATGTTTTTAAAGGGTCATTCTGGCTGCTGTGATAGATTATAGGCATCTAGAGCAGAAGCAGGGAGACTAATTCAGGGACTATTGCAATGAACCAGATAAGAGAAATAATGTGGATTGGACTAGGTGACAGGCAACAGTAAGTATACAATTTTTTAAAAAAGTAAGGGAGAATAATTCTGTATTTTTTAGAACACCAACATTAACTGACACTTTAGTTGTGTGGTATAAGAGAGGAGACACCAAGGTTTTAGGCCTGAATAGTTGGAGAATGAAGTTGTTAGGGAGAGGGGGCAGACTGTAGGAAGATCAAGTTTTGGTGGGGAGAAATCAAGAGTTCATCTGTGTATATGTAATGTATAATATGCTTCAGACATCTAAATGGAGAGGCTAATAAGTTGGTTGTTAGATATAGGAGTATGGGTTCAGGAGAAAGAGTTTGTGACTGGAAACATAAATTTGGAGTGTTCAGTCCATAGATTGTATTTAAAGCCTTAAGACTAGTGACCATAAAGGTAAAAAATGTAAATAGAAAAAGAGGTCTAAAAACCGAGTCCTTACCTTGGACATTATATCATTAAGAAAGTCAAGAGAAGAAATCAACAAAAGGAAACAATGAGCAGGCAGCAAAGTAGAGTAAGTATGGAGTACAGGAGAGCATTGGAATCCTGAGATCCAAATGAAAATCTTATACCTGGAGACTATGTGATCAACATCATCAAATCCTGTGATGGGTCAAGTAAGATGGAGACTGAGCAGTGACCTCTGGATAATTTTGACTATTGGATATCAGTTATTTATTCTGTATCTTTCTGGTTTCAGCAATCTACTTTTCTAATTATTTCACATCTGTTTCTGTCCCCAAATGCCTGATATTGGGAGAGGAATGGAGTTAAAAGGATAGAATTTCGCAGCAAAGTAGATAATATCATGAAATAGGTTTATGTATGTGGGCCTCCCAGGTGCTGGCATTAGTTCTGTTTCTTGATGTAGGTGGTGATATTATGGGTGTTTGCTTTATAATTATTCCTTACATTGTACCTGTATGGTTTATACAGCTTTTTATATGTAAAATTTAGCAAAAAAGAAGGATGAGAAAGTTCATGAATTTAAACATAAATTAGCTTTTTAAAAACTGTTAGTTACACCTCTTTTACTTTTGAAAGCTTTGTTCTGTACATGGCAACATTATACAAAACTATTAAAAAATGTTCAGTCTTTTCAAATGCTTATATTCTCAATTTTTTTTTATTTCTTCTCTAAGCTCTTATGCAACTGGAATCTATCTTAAAGAAAATCATAAAAGAACGAAAAGGAAAGAACTTCAGTCAGCATATTTTCATTGACTCCTTAGTACAAGGGAACCTTAATGACCAGCAGGTGATGTAATTGTTAAATGTTTATCAAACAAATGATAATCACACATGTATAGTTTGCTTTTTATTCACTTTAACCCAGATTCCCTCCTAAAATTCAGTGGCTTCTCTTTTATCGTGCATCATCCATAAATAGTACAGGTATTTAGTTTCATGTTAGTAAGTACAGGTATTTAGATCTTTGAATCAGCTGTATATTAAATAATATTGGGTAAGCAAATACTGAATCACAATTCTCACATCATGAAGAGTGGAGGACTTGTAAAAGGTTTTATTTTTTTTAAGTTCATTTTAGAGAGAGTGCGAGTGTACAAGTAGGGGAGGGGCAAAGAGAGGGAGGGAGACACAGAAGCCAAATCAGGCTCCAGGCCCTGAGCTGTCAGCAGAGAGCTGGACACGGGGCTCAATTTAGGGACATGGCGTTCAGTTCACAGACTGTGAGGTCATGACCTGAGCTCAAGTCAGACGCACAACTGAGTCACACAGTGCCCCATGGACTTGTGTAAGTTTTTATCAGCCGAGCTGGTCTGCCTGAATGACTGGATATGGCAGCTTGGCTTCTTCCCAGGGTGCCTCTGTTACCTCCAGCATACAGCTGTGTGGTATTGTCAGGCAAAGGGCAAAGGCCCACACTTGTTCATTATAGGAATCTTCTGCCCATTATATGCATGCAAATTTCATAGATAGAATGGTTTGCCAGGTATGTGTAGGTGCAGAAATTGAATAAGGCTCCAAGCATAATGGCAGCATCTTCTCCGCTGTTCTTGAGGCTTTGCTCCTGCACCTGGCCAAGCCAGAAAGATAGGATTGAGCCAGTAATATTTGCAAAAAGCATATCATGAGCCAGTGATATTACCGATAAATGTTTATTGCATCAAAAAGGCAATGCAGTATTTAGGTTGGTTTTTCCATTAGGGTTTTTTTTCTAAGTGAAAACATTTTAAAGAAATGGTAGACTTTTTTTCTTTTCCTTGACCCTAATTCTGTACTGGACATTATTTTAGTAGGCTCTAATACAGGCAACCTTAAACATTTTACACTTTCTAAACTTAGTTTTCTCTCCTAGATCCTTGAAGACAGTATGATATTTTCTCTGGCCAGTTGCATAATAACTGCAAAATGTAAGTAGCAACTGATTTCTTTTTGAGATATATTATAAAATATACAGGGATAAAACAAAGGAAACATTGTTTGCAAGACCTCTTTATAATTTCCCTTTTCTTTTTTATTCTTGTTTGAAAGGCTTGATTCACACAGCTGCCTTTTTTTTTTTTTTTAACCCCAGGTGCTCTATGCCACCTCTGAACATTGCCATAAATTTCTTCACACAGTTTATGGATTGTGAATTCTAGTCAGTGCCTTTAAAATGAACTGTTATTGACACCTTTCCAGCCAGAGTAGTGAGCTTTGCAATTTCCTGCTGCAGCTTTTCTCTTTGACTCCAATCCAGTTTGCTGTTATTAAGGTCTACCAACAGAGGATAGAGGCCACAGAAATCACAATTTAAAAGAATTCCACTCTTCGTAGAATTGAGGGTGATTTTAATTTAAAATTCTTTTCTTTAAAAATTTTTAAATGTTTTATTTATTTCTGAGAGAGAGAGAGAGAGAGAGAGAGAGAGACAGTGTGAGCAGGGGAGGGTCAGAGAGAGAGGAAGACACAGAATCTGAACAGGCTCCAGGCTCTGAGCTGACAGCACAGAACCCAACATGGAGCTCCAACCCAAGAACCATGAGATCATGACCTGAGCTGAAGTCGGACGTTTAACTGACTGAGCCACCCAGGCACCCCAATTTTTATTTAAAATTCTAAAGTGTGTGATATGTTTCTGTTTCCTTACTGTATTTGGGTTTAGCAGAGTACCATTAGTTCATATGGTATTTATAAATATTTGTGTGTGTTTCTAAAAATATACTAATATAAAATGTTCAAGTATTAAAATATCAATTTGAAATAAATAGAAAAAATTTATGTTCATTTTGAAGGATTTCATTTACAACTTTTTTAAAAAACAGTGATTCAAAATATAAAGTTCCCATACAATTTTCTTATAAAATTTTTGACATTTAGAGAGATGTCTAGGTAATATAGAATAAACGGAATTTAGGTCAAATGTGTCAAAAATAATGTATTGAACTTTTTTAAAAAGTACTTGTTTTAAATATTTACTACATTAGGGGCACCTGGGTGGCTTAGTTGGTTAAGCATCTGACCTCAAGTCTTGATCTCACAGTTCCTGAGTTCCAGCCTGAGCCCCACATCCTGAGGCCCACATGGGGCTCTCTACCCTCAGCATGGAGCCTGCTCCCCCTCCCCGCCGTCTCTTCCCTTCTTTCTGCCCTTCCCCTGTTCACCCGTTCTCTCTCTCTACTCACACTATTTCTCTCAAATATGAAAATAAACATTTAAAAATGTACTACATTAAAATATATCTTTGCTAAAGATGTTCAAAAAAATCTAAATTGGTTGTGCTCTGGATACAGAGCAGAAAAAGTGACCATTTCCAAAGTCAAGGTAATGTTTTAATCATATTGCAGTTTTTAGGGGAAATTTCAGCCTATCACTCACTGTTTCTTTGCACATGGGTTGATTATTTTTTAAGGTACCTCTAAAGGTTTTGAGAATCAAGATAGGCAGGAAACTTTAAAGTCCTTCCTTTATTACTAATTAGCCTTGAGCAAGATACTTGCCTCAGGATTTTTTCCTTTTCTAAAATAAAAGGTTAGCTCTAAATGATATCCCAGGTATCTCTCAAATATACAGTTGTGTCTTTGGTTCAATATCGTAATTAAAAAACATTCAGTGTCTTAAAATCTTATTTTTAAGTTGTGCTTAGTCATACTTTTTGATGGAGTTCTACAAAAGAACCAATGTTTGAGATTATTAAGCTTATACAATTATATTAAGTTTAAGTGATAACATACTAATACAGGGTATTATGAATGCCTACTGTGTGCTAACCTTGTACTAAATCTTTCAGTGTTGCTTATTACTATATATTATACAATTACGTACATATTGTACCCTGTATGTACAAGTTTTCATATAACTTTTGAAGTAGAAATTCTGTAGTTCACTCAAAAGCTCTACTAAAGAAGTTTTTGTAGGAAAAAGCTAAGGACAGGCAGTTACTCATATGCCCTTTACAAACTCTGGATGTGAATAAATTTTTAAAAAAGTGAGTACCAGGCAGCTATTAATTTTAGTGGTTAGTACAGAAAGTGAATTTTGTCCTTTCCAGGAATAGGAATTGTGAATAATATGTGAATTAGGCAAACATTTTTTAAAAAGTAACTTTGAAACAAATTTAAGATAGCCCTTAGATCAAGAAAGAGATAATTAATAAGTAGAAGTAGAAACTACTTAATGTATTTTTGAAAGTACTTGACATAGAAAAAGTAGTATAGACAGAGTCATCTCAAGCATAATCTAGGGCAAAATGTATTATATATCTAAATGGTTCCATTCTTCGAATAGTTACAATGCCGGTGGATTTCTAAAGGAAATATAATTACTCTTATTACCTCTATTTTATGTTCTCTCATGTGATTTTCTTACCTTTCCATTTCCTCAGTGAATATAATCTATAAGCCATTTTAAGCAAAAATAAGCCCATAAGTTTAATAATCTTCCAATCTTGGTGTTCATCAAAATAATTGTGTTATTTGTTAGAAGTACACATGCATGGACTCCACCCTAAATCTTATGTTGAATCAGAATCTGTGAATGTGGGATTGTGCTATCAACCAATTCCTGGGTGGTTTTTGAGAGCCACTGTCCTAAGCAATAACTGGTACTAAGTTTTGAGCCAGTTATTCTACCATTACAAGTAAAAATTTAGAATATTGATTTATAAGTAAATCTCCTGCTACTTTGATTTGTATGAATCATTTAATTAGGGCTCCTGAGTAAACTGATAAATCATTATTTTTATTACACAAGGTTGGATGAACCAGAAAATCTATTAAATTTGTCAACATTTAACACTCCTCCAGATGTGAAGTTTATTTATTATCGTTACTATTTTTACTTTGGTAAAATGCATTTTTGGTCTCAGTTACTTGCCAGTTTTTAAGAAAGAAATTTTCCAGATTGTACTATCTCTTTAGGAATGTTCTATAAATATTCATGTTCTGTTCAATGAAGTACAAATTCTGTGAACAATCTTGTTTTATTTTTTTGGTAGCATTTATGTATCTTCCCTATCAGAAAAAAGGAAAATACAGGAAAAAAATAGTAATAGTACCCAAACTATGAATTAGCTATTTTCATTGTTATTAATATAAATTTTTACTTAGTGTGCACCTGGGCAATCTGTTTTTTAACCACCTCTGAAGAGGTTCAGAAAAAACTTTATGAAGAGATAGACCAAGTTTTTGGAAAGGAACCTATTACTCCAGAGAAAATTGAGCGGCTCAGGTAAGAATACAGTAAAAAGAAGAGGAGATGATTAAAAGGTAAATTTGAATTGATTTAACTATCTCTTTTTAAAAATTTTTTTAATGTTTGTTTATTTTTGAGAGAGAGAAGCAGAGTGTGAGCTGGGAAGGGGCACAGAGAGAGGGAGACAGAATAATCTGAAGCAGGCTCTAGGCTCCGAGCTGTCAGCACAGAGCAACGCAGGGCTTGAACTCAAAAACTGTGAGATCATGACCTGAGCTTAAGTTGGACACTTAACCAACTAAGCCACGCAGGCACCCCTCAATTGGTTTAACCAGCTTATTTAAAGCTAATGATAATATCTAGGAAAGGTATATATATATATATTTTTTAATATTTTTCAGTTATTTCTAGGAGAGAGAGAGAGACAGCATGAGCAGGCGAGAGTCAGAGAGAGAGGGAGATACAGACTCTGAAATAGGCTCCAGGCTCTGAGCTGGCAGTCAGCACAGAGCCTGACGCGGGGCTTGAACCCACGAACCACGAGATCATGACCTAAGCGAAAGTCGGACGCTTAACCGACTAAGCCACCCAGGCGCCCCGTAGGAAAGGTATATATTTTTATAGGACTTAAGATTTTTACATACAGATTTTGTTATGTAATTTAATTTGCTCTTTAAAATTGTAAGGTAGGCATGCGTGGGTGGCCCAGTTGGTTGAGCATCCAAATCTTGATTTTAGTTCAGTGCTCAGTGTGGAGCCCACTTGTGATTCTCTCTCTTTCTCTCTCTCTCCCTCTGCTTCTCTCCCCCACTCACACTCTCTCTCTTAAAAAAAAGCAAAAAAAAAACATAAGGTAGTTCTGGGAAACCTTAACATTAAACTATATAAAGTAGTATCAGCAATGTTTAAGTAAGTGGAACATTCATACCTAATTGATGGGAATGCAAAATGGTATAGTCTTGTTGGAAAACAGTGTGGCAGTTAAACATATACTTAACCATACAACCCAAAAATTCTCCAAGGCATTTACTCAAGAGAAATGAAAAAATATGTCCACATAGAGAACTTTATGCCATTGTTCATAGCAATATTATTCATGATAGCAAAAAACTAGAAGCAGTCCAGATGTTGATCAACTGGTGAATAGATAAATGAATTGTGTTATGTCTATACCTTGAAGTATTACCAAGTAGTAAAAAGTAGTATGATATTAATATGTATATAACAATGTGGATAAATGTGATTCTATTATGCGAAAGAAGTCAAGCACATACAATATGCATACAATATGATCTCATTAGGGTGAAATTCTAGAAAAGGCAAAAAACTACAGTCTTAGAAAATAGATCAGTGGTTGTCTGGGACCAGGAATAGGGCAAGGATCAACTAGGAGGGAGAAAGAAAAGTTTTTAGAGTTCGGAAACTGTTCTGTATTTTGCTTGTGCGTGGTTATGGTTAGACAATTATACACAATGACTAAAATTCATTAAATTGTACAGGTAAGATAGATGAATTTTTATATGTAGATAATACCTTAATTAGGGGCACCTGGGTGGCTCATTTGGTTAAGCATCTGACTTCGGCTCAGGTCAGATCTCATGGTTCATGGGTTCGAGCCCTGCATCGGGCTCTGTGCTGACAGCTCAGAGCCTGCAGCCTGTCTTTGAATTCTGTGTCTCCCTCTCTCTATTCCTCCCCCATGCTCTGTCTCTCTCTCTCTCAAAAATAAATAAACTATTAAAAAAATACCTTAGGGGCGCCCGGGTGGCTTAGTCGGTTAAGCGTCCAACTTTCGCTCAGGTCGTGATCTCGCGGTTCGTGGGTTCGAGTCCCGCGTCGGGATCTGTGCTGACTGCCAGCTCGGAGCCTGGAGCCTGTTTCAGTCTGTGACTCCCTCTCTCTCTGACCCTCCCCTGCTCATGCTGTGTCTCTCTCTCTCCTAGAAATAAATAAAACCTTTAAAAAAATAAATAAATAAAATAAAATAAAAAATACCTTAATTAAAAATATTTTTTTAAATAGCAGCTGTGACTGCTTAGGTTGTTGAAGTCTAAGTCTGGATAGCAGGAAACCAACCCTACCTTGGAGCCTCTTTCAACTATAGAAAAGAAGATAGGGAGACTTATTTTACAAATTTTTCAAAATGTTGGAAGTTTTATTTATTACATTAAATACAATCCTTTAATCTTATTTTTTTCATTTTTTTAATGTTTATTTTTGAGAGAGTGAGAGAGAGAATGTGGGTAGAGAAGGGGCAGAGAGAGAGAACCAGAATCTGAAGCAGACTCCAGGCTCTGAGCCCCATGTGGTGCTCAAACTCATGAACCATGAGATCATGACCTGAGCTGAAGTCAGACACTTAACTGACTGAGCCACCTAGGCACCCATAACCCTTTCATCTTTAAAGTAATATGTAATTAGGGGCGCCTGGGTGGCTTAGTCGGTTAAGCGTCCAACTTTCGCTTAGGTCATGATCTCGCGGTTCGTGGGTTTGAGCCCCACGTCGGGCTCTGTGCTGACTGCCAGCTCAGAGCCTGGAGCCTATTTCGGAGTCTGTGTCCCCCTCTCTCTCTGACCCTCCCCTGCTCACACTGTCTCTCTCTCTCTCTCCTAGAAATAAATTTAAAAAAATAAATTAAAAAAAATAAAGTAATATGTAATTGTCTTTTGAAGTTTTTATAATACAGAAATGTATAACTAGAAGGTGAAGGTTTTTTGTAAGTGTACCCTTAAGAGATAACAATTGTTAACTATCTTTACTATTTTTCCAGATTTTTCTATGCATATATACATATATATTTAAAATTAAAAAATTCAAAATATTTTAAAATGTAAAAATATAATTCTTCTGTGAATTCCATTTTTTCTCTAAATATTTAGTGGACAGTATTTTTATATCTATAACTCCTCCACACCCAATCAGTTATTAGGTTTGTTGCTTGTAATTTCCAAACAACTTTTATTTGGAAGTTTAATTTTAGTTCTTTTCATTGTCCCCACTCTATTCGACCACCATCAACTTGCCTGGGATATTCAACAGCCTTGGATCTTGCTTCCCTCCAATCCATTTTCCAAATTGCTACTGGGGTCTGTGACTACACACTGTAAATACTTTGGGTGCTTTTAACATACAGATAACCTAAGGACCAATTTCCATACCAACAATCTCCAGACATGAGAAGTTTTCAAAAGCTACTCAGATGATTCTAATGTGTTCTAATTCTAATGTTTGAGAATCACTGTGCTAGTGATTTTTTTATATCTGGGGAGTCTGTATCTGGGCAGATGACTCTCTAATTTAAAATCCTTCAGGGACATCTGGTTGCCCTTAAGATAACATTTAAACTCACCAGTTTAGCTTATGATGCATTCTAACAGCTGGGTCTTGTATTCCTCTTCCATCTTTTCTCTTATTATTTGTGCCTGTTCATATCTAGGATTTAACTATATTGAAATTCTTTAGTTTCTGCAAAGCCGCAGTAGCCTTTCTTATCTTCTGGCTTTTGCAGACTACTCCTTTATCTAGATTCTCTCTTCCTTTGTCTTCTAGCTAACTCCAGTTTGTTGGGTTATTTATTTATTTTTTTCCTGCAGGTCTCAGCCTAAAATGCTTATTTCTCCACAAAGTCCTTTCTTTTAGTTAGGTGCTCCTGCCAGGTGTTATCCAAAACCCTGAACTTCCTTTATCATAACCATTACTTTGCTTTTTAAATTGTCATCCTTGATGTCCCTAGCTTTCCCTGCCAGTTAGACTTTGAATCCCTTTATGAGTATCTGTCTTGTTCCCTGTTGTAGCTCACTATCTAACATGGTGCTTCTAATGTTGTAGGTACCTAATAAATGTTCAAAGAGGGAAGGAAGGATTTAGTTCTTTCGTTTTTGTTGTTTTTAGATATTATAAACAGTCAACTTTCCTACACTTGCATTTTTGTTAATATTCTACTAATAAAGTTTCTATTGTTTCTAGTAATAAAGTCCTAGAAATGAGATTATTATTGAAGGATATATACAGTAGCTTAGTATTTATAATTAGGGGCTGTGAACTAAGACAGTCCTAGGTTTGAATCTTGTTGATACCACTTCCCTGCCATGTTGATCTTAAATAATTGCCTCATTTCTAAAAATCTGTAAAATTAAAATAATAGTAGCATCCATGAAGCTTAAATAAGGATTAAGCGAGATAGTGCATAGAAAGTATTTAATAGAACTGGCTTATAGGAGGATTTCAATACATTTTAGCTTTTATTCTAATTGTGTTGTACACTTAATTTTTTAAAAATATTTTTAATGTTTTATTTATTTCTGAGAAAGAGACAGCATGAGCAGGAGAGGGTCAAAGAGAGAGGGAGATACAGAATCTCAAATAGGCTCCAGGCTCTGAGCTAGCTGTGAGCACAGAGCCGGACACGGGGCTTGAACCCACGAACTGTGAGATCATGACCTGAGCCGAAGTCAGATGCTCAACCAACTGAGCCACCCAGGCACCCCCACACTTAATATTTTTTTACATTGCCAAGTTACCCTTCATAAAGGTTGTACCAATTTATACTTCCAACAACTGGATATAAATGTCTTTTCCCCATTAAAAAATTTTATTTATTTTTGAGAGAGAGAGAGAGAGCGTGTACCCAAGTGATGGAGGGGCAGAGAAAAAGAGGTTCTTAAGCTGGCTTTACACTGATAGTAGTGAGCCCGATGTGGGACTTGAATTCATGAACCATGAAATCATGACCTGAGCCAAAGTCAACCCACTGAGCCACACAGGACCCTTTTTTTCCCCATTTTTTATTAGTATTGTCTAATATCGTTCTATTTCATCTTTGCTAATCTGTCAAGTAAAAAAAATTACTATAATTGGTGATTTTTCCACTGTTAAGGAGGCTGAGCATCACTTCATATATTTCCAAAACATTTGTATTTTGTTGTATGTGAATTCCTTTTTTATAGTTGTCCATATTTTTGTTAGGGTGTTTGATGATTTTAATTATCTATTTTTTAAATATTTATTTATTTATTTAATTTTAGGTGGAGAGAGCAAGAGCGAGAGTGAGCGCAGGAGTGGGAGTGGGGCAGAGGGAGTGGGAGAAGGAGAGAAAGGATCTCAAGCATGCTCCATGCCCAGTGCAGAGCCCCACTCAGGGCTCGATCTCATGACCATGAGATCATGACCCCAGCTGAAATCAAGAATTGGACACTTGGGGCGCCTGAGTGGTTCAGTTGGTTAAGCGTCCAGCTTCAGCTCAGGTCACTATCTCGTGGTTCATGGGTTCAAGCCTTGCATCAGGTTCTGTTCTGGCAGCTCAAAGCCTGGAGCCTGTTTCAGATTCTGTGTCTCCCTCCCTCTCTGCCCCTCTCCCACTCATGCTCTGTCTCTCTCTATCTCAAGAATAAATAAATTATTTAAAAAAATTAAAAAAAAAAGTTGGACACTTGAGTGATGCCCCAATAATTGTGGATTTTTAAAGAGCTATTACACATTTTGAAAATATTTTTCCTAGTTGTTTTCCAGTAGTGCTTACAATTGTAAATAAGTTTAAAAAATTTCCATATTCGGATTATTTGTATTTTTCTTTGTGGTTTCTGTCTTTGTGTCAATATTTTTATGATTTTTGAGTAGGAGAGTTCTTTGTTAAATTTATTAATCCTTCATTTTAAAAATAAAAGACTTTTGTACTCAAATAAAAATATTGTTTTGAGTTTTCTTCTGGTACTTTTAAGGTGGTTTTCATTTGTTTAAATTTATACCTACCTGGATTTTATATACCTCTAATACATAACTTATTTTCAAACAAATTAGAATTACGATGTGACTACTTCAAATCAGGAAGATTATTAAAGTTGTTGAATGATATTTTTAAATGTATGTACATCTCAAACTGCCTCTCCCAGAGTAAAGATCTGTAAAAATGTTTTTTTTTAAACAGATATTGTCGGCAAGTACTTTGTGAAACTGTTCGGACTGCCAAACTGACCCCTGTTTCTGCCCGGCTTCAAGATATTGAAGGAAAGGTTGACAAATTTATTATTCCTAGAGAGGTAAGAAACATTTGGTATACTTACTTTACTGACTTACTTACTTGGTCTTTATAACTCTTTTAGTGTGTATTTTTAAATCCTATAGTTTAAAACGTCCAATAAATGATACCTATTATTAAATCAAAGACACGGGGTGCCTGGGTGGCTCAGTTGGTTAAGGTCTGACTTCGGTTCAGCTCATGATCTCATGGTTCAAGGGTTCAAGCCTGCGTTGTGCTCTGTACTGACAGTGTCGACCCTGCTTGGGATTCTTTCTTTCTTTCCTACTTTGGGCCCCTTCTCCATGTGTGCTTGTTCTTTCTCTCTCTTTAATTTAAAAAAATTAAAATAAAGACACAATTATTTTAAATGATAATAATATATGCTGTTTTAAAGTCTAAACAGTAGAAAGGCTTCCTTCCTCATGTGTACTACTGCTAATACTTTAGTGTGTATTTTTGTATATCTTTTTCTATGTATGTATATTACTCTGTATGTGTAATATACATATATGTGTGTGTTTTAAAAATTGAATTTATATGTGAAAGGTTGTTTTTCACATATCCTTCGTTAATTTGCTTCTTTAATTAAGTGTATCATGGCTATTAGTACAACTGATACTTAATACAGATCCAATTCATTATTTTTAATGGATGTATAGTATTCCATTGTATGAGTGTGTTATAGTTTATTTAAGCAGTCCCCATCGGTGGAAATTTAGATTGACATCATTTTTTTGTTGTTGTTACAAATTGTATACTTGTATAGGTATTGAGTAGAGTCTTAGAAATAGAGTTTTGGGGTCAAAGTGCTTATGTATATTAAATTTAAGTTGCCCTCTAAAAAACAATTTATATTTTTAGCAACAGCGTATGAATCTTTACCACTTCAGGATTTAGGAACTTTTTACACATTTCTTATATGAAACACTATCTCATTATTTTACTTTGCTTTTCCCTGATCATTGGAGAGATTGAGCAGCTTTTCATACATATTTAACAGTTTGTATTTCTTTTTGTGAGTTATGCGCTTGTAACTTACTCTTCTTTCTAGTGAGCTTAAACATCTTTCTGTGTATTGTACATGCTAACAGTCAATTATATAGGAAATGTGTTTTTCTTATTATTTATCTTTCACTGGTGATTTTGGTCTGTTTTGTTTTAACTGGATGCAGTTTTTAAATTTTCATAGTTAAATCTGTTATTCCTTTATGACTTGCAGATTTTGACATAGTTAGTGAGGCCTTCCCCGCTATAAAATCACCAAAATCATGGCCTGTGTTTTCTTCTTTTATTTTCTATTTTTATTCTGTGTTCATTATCAGTATTAAAAGAGCATTTAGGATGAGTTGCTTTCTGGCAGTCACTTCATCTCTGTTAGGCCTTTACTAACTAGAGTAATTTTTTTTGCAGACTCTTGTTCTTTATGCCCTTGGTGTGGTACTTCAGGATCCCAGTAGTTGGCCATCACCACACAAGTATGAAATATTTTTCTTTATCCTTGTGATTATTGATTTTTATGTGTTTGCATGGTTTGCATTCCTTTTCCACGTTTTGAGAAGAAAACTTAATATGTGACAGTGATATAAAAAAGCCATTGCCTTCTTTTTATCTCTTCTGTTGATGAATCCACTATCTGCTTCTCTTTGTTTCTCCTGTTGTCACTTCTTTGTTTTCAATGTTTACTTATTTATTTATTGAGAGAGAAATAGAGCGTGAGTGTGAGCAGGGGGAAGGGCAAAGAGAGAGGAGAGAGAATCTTAGGCATTCTCCATGTTCAGCATGGAGCCTGACATGGGCCTTGATTCCACAACCCTGGGATTGTGACCAGAGCGAATTCAAGAGTTGGACACTTAAGCAGCTGAGCCACCTAGGTGTCCCTAAATGTAATGCTCTTGTGGTCAACGTAGTATGTTTCCTATTGTTTTAGGACTGCATAGTATTATTCTGTTATATGGATATACCAGAATTTTTCAACCTTTTTACCCACTGGAGAACATTTGGGTTGTTTTGGTAATGAAGCTGCTTTGAACATTCATGTAAGGGTTTTTGTGTGAACATAGAGCTTCATTTCCTTGGGATAAATGCCCAAGAGTGCACTTGCTGGGTCATACGGCTCGTGCTTGTTTAGTTTTGCAAGAAACTGCCAGGCTGTTTTTCAGGGATTCTCACCAGCACTGTTTGAGAGATTCAGCTTCTCTGCAGCCTCAGTAACACTGACTATTTTCGCTGTTTTTTATATGAGTTCTAATAGGTATGTGGTGGTAGTTCGTTATGGTTCTTAGTTTTATTTTTGAGTAACTGATGTTAACATATTCTCCCTATAGAAAAATGTCTGGATATTATTTATTTATAAAAAGAAATGCATAGAAATACATTATTACCGTTACCATATTGGCAATATGTCAGAGCAAGAAAAACCTGGGTCAAATTCTATGATTTAAATGGATAATAATGTAAATACTACTCTGTAGTAAAGGATGAAATATTATCAACTTTAAAAAAACAGTCTAATACAAAATTCTAAACTGAAAAGAATGAAGACAAATGTCAAACCCTCAGTATAGACTGGGACCAAGATGGTGACTTAGCAGGCTCCTGAATTTCCGTCCTCCCATGGACACACTCTGTGTTGCTATGCATGGAGCAATTCCCTCTGAGAGAACTCCAGAAATTAGCTGAGTTCCTCCTACACAATCAGGCAGATGAGAAAATATCCGCATTAAAACATGTAGGAAAGACTGAGGCACACTCTTGCCTAAACCTACCCCTAGCACAGTGCTATATAATCAGGAGGGAACCCCCAACTGCCAGCTTCTCCCTGAGAATCGGAGGGTTTGGACTGTATTACTACTGCCCCCAGTTGAAGACTCTCACCTGAGATTTGGGTTTCCAAAACATTTAGCTCTGAAAGCCACCAGGGCTTGTGCTTATGAGTCCCATAGGCTTATACCAAAGAAGCAGATTTTTCTCCCCCAAAGAAGCATTCTTAATGGTGCAAGATGGGAGCACAAACACTTGCTGTGGCTTTTCCCCTAGGGCACAGCACAGAGAAAGGAGGTTGACTGGAAATTTTAAAAGCTGCTGCCTGAGGCTCCAGCTTTTAGTTAGCACACATCTTCGAGTAATGGCCTAGGGGAGCAAGTGGGTGTGACCTGACCCCAACTCGGATTTACTCCAACAATAGAACCAAGTTAGAAGACTATTTGCACACATTTAGTGCCCTAACTCTTACAGCTGCTATTTGAGGGACATGTCCCAAATTACCTGTGATAGCATGGAGTCTTGTATTCATAATTTCGACAGGACAGTAGCAAACAAAGTAGTTGTTAATAGGCATGCAGGTAGTTACTGTGGCTAGCCCCCAGAGTTCAATCCAAAGGAGGTGGGCAAATGCCCATCTTCCAGTCTTTCTCTGTAGGGGGCTTGACTGCTTCCACATTAACAAAATGCAATTCATAATCAAAATACCAATAGTATTTTACACAGAACTAGAACAAATAATCCTAAAATTTGTATGAAATGACAAAAGACCTTGAGTAGCCAAAGAACATAATTCAACATAATAAAGTCCATATAGGACAAACCTACAGCCAACATCATCCTCAGTGGTGAAGAACAGAGAGCTTTCCCTCTAAGATCAAGAACAGGACAGGGGCACCTGGGTGACTCAGTTGGTTAAGCATCCAACTTCAGCTCAGGTCATGATCTCGCGGCTCTTGAGTTCGAGGCCCGCATCGGGCTCCATGCAGACAGGTCAGAGCCTGGAGCCTGCTTTGAATTTTGTGTCTCCCTCTCTCTCTGCCCCTTTCCTGCTCATGCTGTCTCTTTCTCTCAAAAATAAACGAATGTTAAAAAACAACAACAACAGACAAAGATGTTCAGTCTCACACTTATATTCAACATAGTGCTGGGAGCCCTTGCTGCAGCAGTCAGACAAGAAAAACAAATAAAAGGCATCCAGATTGGTAAGGAAAAAATAAAACTTGCTGTTTTCAGATGACATGATGTTATATATAGAAAACCTAAACACTCCATCAAAAAACTGTTAGAACTAATAAATGAATTCAGTAAGGTTTCAGGATACAAAATCCATAGCATTTCTGTACATTAATAATGAACTACCAGAAAGAGAAATTAAGAAAACAATCCCATATACAAAAAAAAAAAAAAAAAAAAAAAAACACAAAAAAACTAAAACCTAGGAATAAATTTAATCAAGGAGTGAAGGACCTAATACTCTGAAAACTGTAGGACACTAATGAAGGAAATTGAAGATGACATGTATAAATAGAAAGGTATATCATGCTCATGGACTGGAGGAATACTATTAAAATGCCTATACTAACCAAAGCAATCTAATTCAGTACCTATCAAAATACCAGTAATGGGACACCTGACTGGCTTGGTTGGTGGAGTGTGTGACTCTTAGCTCATGGTTGTGAGTTCAATCCCCATGCTGGGTGTGGAGATTACTTTAAAAAAATCTTTAAAAAGCTGGGTGGCTTTCTCAGTTGAGCATCTGACTTCAGCTCAGGTCATGATCTCACAGTCTGTGAGTTTGAGCCCCATGCTGGCAGCTCAGAGCCTGGAGCCTGCTTTGGATTCTATGTCTCCCTCTCTCTCTGCTCCTTCCTCACTCACAATTTCTCTCTCTCTCCCTCTCCCTCTCCCTCTCCCTCTCTCTCTCACTCAAAAAATAAACAGTAAAAAAAATTTTTTATCTTTAAAAAAAAAAACAGTAATGTTTTTCACAGAACTAGAATAAATCATCCCAAAAGTTGTATGGAATGACAAATAGCAAAATAGCCAAAGTAGTCTTGAAAAAGAAGACAAAGCTGACAAAGCTAGAGGTATCACAATCCCAGATTTGAGGTTACAGTACAAAGTTGTAGTAATCTATACAGTATGGTACTGGCACAAAATTAGGCACATTGATCAATGGAACAAAACTGAGAGACAAATAAATTCATATTTATGTGATCACTTAATCTATAATAAAGGAGGTAAGAATAACCACAGTGGGGAAAGACAGTCCCTTCAATTAATGGTGTTGGGAAAACTGGACAGCTATATGCAAAAGAATGAAACTGGACCACTTTCTAAATTTTTTTAAAAACATTTATTCATTTTTGGGGCACCTGGGTGGCTCAGTCGGTTAAGCGTCTGACTTCAGCTCAGGTCATGATCTCATGTTTCATGGTTTCGAGCCCCGTGCCAGACTCTGTGTTGACAGCCAGCTCAGAGCCTGGAGCCTGTTTCAGATTCTGTGTCTCCCTCTCTCTCTGACCCTCCCCTGCTCACACTGTCTGTCTCTGTCTCTGTCTCTCTCTCTCTCTCTCTCTAAGAAATAAGTAAAACATTAAAAAAACATTTATTCATTTTTGAGAGATAGAGACAGAGTGTGAATGGGGGACGGGCAGAGAGAGAAGGAGATACAGAATCTGAAGCAGGCTCCAGGTTCCGAGCTGTCAGCATAGAGCTCAACATGAGACTTGAACTCAAGAACAGCGAGATCATAACCTGACCCGAAGATGGACACTTAACCAACTGAGCCACCTAGGCATCCTGAAACTGGACCACCTCTTTCTTACACCATACACAAAAATAATTGAAAATGGATTAAGGACCTAAATATGAGACCTGAAACTATAGAAGTTCTAGAAGAGAGCATAGGCAATGATTTCTCTGAAATTGGTTGTAGCAGCTCCTCCTAAATACGTCTTCTGAGGCGAGGGAAACAAAAGCAAAAGTAAACTATTGGGACTACATCAAAATAAAAACCTCTGCACAGCAAAGGAAACAACAAACTAAAAAGAACACTTACTGAATGGGAGAGTTATTTGCCAATGACATATCTGATAAAGGGTTAGTATCTAAAATACATAAAAAACTTCCACAACTCAACACCCAAAACCCAAATAGTCAAAAAATGGGCAGAAGGGGCACCTGGGTGGCTCATTTGGTTAAGTGTCCAACTCTTGATTTCAGCTCAGGACATGATCTCAACGGTTCGTGAGATTGAGTCCCATGTCAGTCTCCTGTGCTGACACTGTGGAGCCTGCTTGGGATTCTCTCCCTCTCTCAAACATTAAAAAAATAATAATAAATCTTTTTAAAAGAATAAAAAATGGGCAGAAGAAATGCACAGATATTTCCCCCAAGAAGACATACAGATGGCCAACAGACACATGAAAAGATGCTCAAAATCACTCATCAGGAAATGCAAATCAAAACCCACAATGAGATATCACCTCACACCTGTCAGGATGGCTGAAATCAAAAACTCAAGAAACAGCACCTGTTGGCAAAGATGTGGAGAGAAAAGAACCCTCTTGCACTGTTGTTGGTACTGTAAACTGTGCAGCCACTGTGGAAGAGCACATGGAGGTTCCTCAAAAGATTTAAAAAAGAACTACCGTATGATCCAGTAATTCCACTACTGGGTAGTTACCCAAAGAATATAAACACAGTAATT